GTTGCACCCTGCTCAGGCTGCCACACAGATTTCTAATGCAATGCCTGTCACAGTAGGTAGATGAGTCCTTTTCAAAGCAACATGCCCCACTGCCATGGGGGCAGCACCTGCAGAGACAAGGCTAGTTCCTGGCTGGAATCAGCCTTGCATAGGCCAGCGTGGAGGTGGTGATGCCCCGGGGGAAAGGATCTGCAGCAAGCTCAGACTGATGGGCCCAGCAGCCTTGGCCCTTCCTTTGTCCCCTCCCTTCTACCAGCAGCAGAAAGACAGCAGTAAGACAAAAAATGGAACTAAATCCCTCTTGTCCTGTAATATTAAGTTCCACTATATATTAGTAAATACACACTAATTTCCTCAGGAAGATCAAACATAATTTGTCCCAAGAGAACTGAAGCTCCTTAAAGCACCAGTCTCTGAAAGGGACTGTTAACCTTCAGTCCTGCTGACAGGAGCAACCACCTTGAAACAAGTCCACAGGGGCCCCTGTGGACTTCCATCACCCCTGCTCATAGTCACTTGTCCCTGTGCACAGCTCTGGTGAATAATCTTCCGGGATGGGGCACAGACCCGCAAAAACCTGTGAGAGTGTACAAACATGCACATACCAATATCTGTGTCCCCAAGCACTGAGGAGCATTTTTAACAAACTGGCAAGAGCAGCAGAGAAACTCGCTCTGCCTTCCACCACATCACACAAATCCAACAGTCCAACCAGATCCAGCATGCAGCACGTTCCCAACAACTCATCTCCCAGTATATCCTCACCCTGGAACTGGGGACATGGTCCCCAAGCCACAGGTCAAGGCTGACCGGTAAGGGTGAAACAACAACTGCACACAAATAACCATAAAATTCAGCCTAGCAAGCCAGTATTTCTTGTCCTGCTCTCCTTGGCAAGAGTGCCTCTGAGCCCTCACCAGTTAAGTCACCAAATCAGGAGACAGGCTCTAAAACTCATGATTTTTAAAAAGCAATAGACACCAGGCTGCATTTCAATTAACCTTCCGAGTCCCTCTGCCTTTTCTCTATATACAGCAGAACAACAGGTTTTCAGAATAACACCTTAAAAGCAACATGCAAAGGTTGGCCTGCAAATTTAAATGCACACATTCTCATCCCACATAAATGCACTGGAAATCATATACTCCCTGTGCCCATCTCAGCATCTGAAAAGTACGAGTATGAGGGAGCTTTGTGGAGCTTCCTGGAGCTAGGATACGAACTCCCGCCAGCTCCAACGCCTTTGTCTAGAACAAGCTAGGGCTCGACACCCAGCCACAGCCCTTGCAGCCTTTAGCCTGCCCCATGGCTAGCCGGCAGCCTGCTGGAGAGTCAGAAAGGCTCCCTGCAATCATGGCCTAGAGCGGCACGCTCAGCGCACCAACACCCTCCACTGATGGCTGAAGCAGCTGTTTCCAAACAAAACCAGCAAAGCAAGGGCTTGCTGAGCCGGGAGCTGGGGGAGGCTGCTAGCTGCAACAAATGCTGCGCTGTCATGCTGCCACATCGATCGTGCCCTGGCTCTGTGGTACCTGGTGGTCGGTGCACAGCCCAGCTGCCACCGCTCCCTAGCATCATGCTGCCGGGGTCCACAAACCACCAGTTTGGGAGCAGAAAGTCAGAGGAGCAACAGAGCGAAACAGTCCTTTCTCTGAACTACCCATGCCAGAAAGCCATCAGGTCACACCAGAAAGCCACCACCGCAACTACAGGCACACTTCTCAGAGGATATGAGTGTCTCGCACAGAACATTCTGCAGCACACATACATGCTCACTACCATTAAAGCACAGCCGTCTCGACTGGAGCATAGCAGCCCCGTAACAGTGCAACACTACTCATCAGCTGCACCCTATCTGCGAATGAAGAATGAACAGGCATGCAGCACAAACCAGAATATGACTGATGCCTGCAGGCAAACTGGCTACTGCAAGGAACCCATGGGATATTCTTATAGCTGCCACTGAAGATCACACCTCCAAAATTCGTGCACACAGAGCTCTACACACCCATATACTAAAAAAAAGGCAACCCAGATCTTCAACACATACAGGGTAGGTTTTAGGACCTGATTTGAAAACAAACCTGAAGACAGTTTCAGCAGCTGAAATTCAGCTCTTAGCACAAGAGGTAGTGACTGGCATATTATATGAAAGAAAGTAAAGCTCATACGTATCAGCTGCGCTTTTTTTTTTTTTTTTTTTTTTAACCATCATTTGATATTGTAGGAACTGGCATTGTTCTTTAAGGATTTGTGGACGCCAGGGTACACTTCTCTGCAGCTCCCATTATTCTAGTAGAAACATTTAATTGCTAGTCTTCCTACAAAAAGACTTCTGGGACATTTGGTAGTCAGGGAAGGCAGGTCTTATTCAGTGGCAGGACCTATATGCAGCATGTCTTTCCAGGTATCCAGTTCGGGTCCTGCCTTCAAAAGCTCCATCGAATTCAAAACCCCAGCTGAATACTATAGCTAGTGGCATCCAAGATCAGAAGACAAACTAAGCAACCTACACACATCATCCCTGTACCCAAACGTGCAAGCCACACTTGGGCAACACCTACACTACAGAGGACAATGCAAAAGACCCAGCTGTAAAGGCAAAGAAACAAGGGTGCTGGAAGGAGCCATGGGCTACAAGGGAGCACATGAATGTATGGACCTGCAAGAACAGGCGGAGAAGCAGGTCAAAGCCAAAAGGGGGAAATGAATTCTTCTTCATTATCATATATTACAAGAAATGTAACATGCCAGGTTTTTATGGTTCTTTTTATGGCCATTAATAACAATGGTGGCTCCGAGAGTTATGCTGCTGCTACGGATAATTAAATCTTACGCTCAGGGCAGAAGCTGGGCCACCTAGAGGAGCCAGGCCAGGATTCCACTGTAGTAGCACAAAGACCTACTCAAGTGCACGATGGGAGTGGGACGAGGTTTGCTCCAGTGGATGCTCCGACTACCAGCTGCTGCCAAAGCAGGATGGGATGAAGCAGCACTCCCGCTTGGCAGCGAGCACAGGGCTCGCTGTGCCTCGAGCAGTGCATCTACGCAGGCTAGCTGTGGCGGAGAGGGGCATAGCTCACTACTCAGGAGGCCACAGGCTGCACAGGACTCGCTGTGGCTGTCCTGCCGTGCAGGGCAGGAGCGCACACGGTGCTCTCGAAGCCCAGGCGAGGCCGCTACGAAAGGCTGTCCGCAGCTTGCGGACAGTGCCAAGGAGTCAGCCTCAGCACCAGCTCGGCAGTCAGATATCCCGGAAACAGATATGCTTGAGAGGGGCCGAGGGCTCGTCTGCAGACTGTCAGCAATTTTGCTTTTATGCATCACAAGCAAGTGGAACAGTAAATCAAACCCAACCCCACTGCGTACGGAACAGCCAGCTTGAGAATTAAGACACAAAAGTCAAGGAATCAAGAAGCTTGGATTCCCAGAGCGACATTAACTCACACCACAGCCCACAGGGCACATTTTAGTTTATGCCTTACTATGACAGCATTAATGCTGTTGCAGGAAGCCGAGTTTCTGCATGTCCTAGCTTGCGCGTGCTCCCAGTGGCACCTCTTCATCCTGGCAGCCCGATTCCAGGCTTCCACTCGCACAAAGATCTCAGACTAACAGGATCCCACCCGGACGTGAATGTTCAATGTTTAGCCTGTTGTTGCCTACCACTACCATTAAAAATAAAACAATGCAGACTAGAGAGAGGAGAGTCTGGGCAGCAGCAGGGATGGGGGCAGCTCAGGGCCAGGCAGAGCAGGTGCAGCCCAGCAGCCTGCTTCTGTCCATCCCCCACAGCACCAACCGCTGTCCAAACAGCAGTGGTTTCCACCACATACCCGAGCACTGGTGCCAGGTGTGCTTAGGATCTGCCCCAAATTCGAGCCTTTCTCCAACAGCAGCCAGGGCTGGTGACACAGGCTCAGCTGTGAGTGGCTCGCCTGCGCACATCAGGAGACGCATGGCTTCACACAGATGCAGAGGCTCAGGCACATGTATCTTCCTCACATACTCCTTACCCTGGAGCCTCTGAATTCATTTTATTCTTACTTACATAAATAAAGACTAGAAAAATCACTACTAGCCCAGACTCAGGTCAGTCTGACAGAGACTTGGCATTTCAGTCTAGGTCACCTCAGCCTGTGCCACCACTGCTCAGCAACAAGGTGAGGGGACTTCACCATCCAGTTTTCCAACAAGAGCTACAGCAACCCAGCAAGCTTGTCCTTCCACGATTATTCATTAAACTGTGGGTACTTTACTGCATGCTTTGTGCCTTAAATACCTCTTATTAGCGTTTGAGTGTCTTCCCTCCCTAGCAAGCTTGCAAGGCTCCCATTAAAGGTAATGAGAGTCACACTCCCGGGAGGCAAGGAGAATATATACCCCAACATCTCCTGGTTATGGTCTACTCTAACTAGTATGTCAGAGCATCATCTGCTAGGGATTTATTACAGAGGCATTTTACAACAGGCTCTATTATAAGTTATTAAGGAATGGAGCAGTTTCTACTGTTCTTTCATTAAATATTAATAGAACATTTATAAACCGATCCTTAAATTAAAGTGTTACCTTTAATCAAAGCCCTGGTGATAACAATGCAGCCTTTGGTAAGGGCCCTCTGGTAGTATTTAAACCTTTCACATTGAGGTTTTACGTGCCTATAGTACACCTCTGCTTTGGGTAGTGAGCGTGGAGCTGTGGATGGCGGTGGAGGCAGGGCACCCAGGCTGGGAGCAGATCTTGCTCCAGGACGCTTCCCACGAGGACACTGCACCGAGCTGGGCAGCAGCCTCAGAGCCGTTAGTGCTTCCTCTCCAACGCCCATGGCATAAGCACCCAGGGCAGGTACCTCAGCACCAACATCTAGCATGAAGGTGCAGGCCTGGTCACGCATGCAGGTGCACCCAGAAATGCAGGTGCGTGACCAGGGTCCAGTCTCTCATCCGTTCCAGCCAGGCCACCCCCAGCTCAAGCCAGGGTATTTGCTGGATGCTGCTCACCTGTTTGCCTGTCCACAGTGAAGTGCTGCTCGCCCTCTAGCACACTGTAGACCACCCGAGCGCTGCTCCCATATGTGGGGTCATCAGCATCAGATGCCATCACCTGCATCACAGATGTGCCTGCAGCAGGGACAAGAAGGAAAACAGATAAAAGCAGGAAGGAGGCAAGAAGAGCAGCACAAACCTCGGGGCCAGGGGCTAGCACAACAGGAGAGCAGGGCCAACACTGACAGCTTGCACATGCTCATGGAAGTGAGCAAATAGCTGTGTGCAAGCGCAGAACACCTCCCCCAAAGGCCTGAGAAGCCAGGTCTCCTGAAACATGGATGAAAACGCCTTCTGTGCCAGAAGGGACCAGCTGTGGGAAGCTCAGGGGCTGCTCACTGAGCAGGGCTTGCTCACCAGTGGAGCACTGGACCGAATAGCTTGGGAACAGCTGGGGCTTCCCCAGGGGCCGTCTCTGCTGGGCCCTCGAGGGAAGACCAGGGGACAAGGTGTTATCACCACACCTGCTCCCTTTCTAACAGTCCTGAGCCATGTGGCCACCTCTAGCCCATGGAAGAACCTGCAGGCCAGGGTCTGGTCCCTGCTCCAGCACCACCTCTGCAGCAGACAGCCTGAGCAGGGACGCGGCTGTGGGCGAGGAGAGGTGAACCTGCCTCCTGCCCAGAGCCAGACACAGCACCACGTCCTCATGCTCTACACGTAGCAGGGCAGGAGGACTATAAATTGGATAAAAGTCCATCAAATGGCTGCAATTAAGTTATTGATTTTCAACGCTGCCTCATTAAACCGGGTGCTTCACTCTAACTGTTCCTGTGATGGCTTTAATTTGACATCATGTTCAATTTGACAAAAAGCAGGACCCAGGACATGAGAACGGGGCCAGGAGCAAAGGGGCTGGGAGCTACAGAACCAAGAGAAGGGAGGAAGGAGAGAAAGCCTAGCCCTACCTACAGGTACCCCTGGAAAGGAGATACTGCAGCTGAAGACCTGTGGGGGATAGACTGTCCAGTTCTACCTCCAGCTCTAGACTCAGAGCATCCCTGCCTGGGAGGACAAGCCCTAGCACCAGTCACCTCCCCAGTGGGAGGAGGCGCAGGATGGGGAGAAGAGCCCTGAACTGCTCATAGGAAATATTAAAACCAACTGTGAAAGTACCTGCTGCAAAATATGGTCAGGGCCAAGGGCTGACAAGGCTCACAGAGAAGGTAGTAATTTACAAGGAATGAGATCCCCCAGCAGCGATTGCAGTTAAAAGGTAGGTTGTGCTTCAGAAATGACTCCAGGGCACAAGACCAGCCTGAACTGAGGGGGCCAAGGAAGAGCATTGCACAGCTCGCCCTGCTGCCTCCAGCAACTCCTCCCTGTCTCAGGCACCTCTTGGAGCTGCTGTGCCAACAGGTGAGGGCCAGAGGTATCATGCTGTGGCCCAGCCCCCTCCTTTTCTGGAATGCATTTACCCGTATGCTGCAAAGACCATCTCACAGGCTGGCCACAGCTGGACCCATGTCATGAACAACCCAGAGCTAGGCTTATTACTAGTTGCCAGCACCTGAGTCAAGATCCATCATGTTCCCAAACACTACAGTGGTGCATGCAAAAGCAAGCCAGAAGCAGCCTCTGGTCCTACAGTTCACAATGGGGCAGAAAGGGAGCTGGAACCATCCAGATGGAAAATGAAGAAATCCAGTCCCCATGCCTCCCTCTGCCCCCCTCAGGAGATCCAAGCCCACAGCCAAACCAGGCAGCAGGGTTCTCCTGCACCAGCCCAGCCTGGACTCACACAGAAGACACGAGACAGCAGAGTTAACGGCCAGCAGCAGGGACGCACATGCTCCCCCGCAATCCAGCTTGCCTCCGACATCCTGGAAAGGGTTTTCACTGAAAAAAAAGTAAGCTATTACCATGGCTGTTTTTCATCCTCCCTGACTATCTTCTCAGAGCTGCAGCTCTGCTGATAACATGAGAATCCCCCTCATCAGTCTTCAGCAACAAGCTGGCTTGAGCTGACTTATTTATGCTCATCTGTCTTCAGTGAAGTTATGGTGCATCTCTGCCAGGCACATCCAAACTACACTGAGACAACACTAGCTTCCTGCCTTGCAAACAACCATGTTCTTAGAAATGCTGTTGCTGCAATTCCACGAGATGGTCTTGCCTGCCTCCTCCTCACCCTTCCTCACGCCTCCATGCGGCCATCCTGTCCTTGCACAACCCTTTCACCAAGTACAAGCCGAGGCAGGTCACTCCCACACCAGCACCTGCACTGCATATGCCCTCAGACACCCTACCATGTTCCCCAGAAAGCTCTTGTGGGCCAAAACCCACAAGAATCAAAGTGCAGCAGCCACCTTGGCAACAGGTAGGGCTCCCTCTGTGCCCACCCTTGCAGCAACCAGCTGAGAGACCATGCACAGGATCCTCAGCAGTGTTCACCCCACCACCTGCACCCTGTAGCAGCCGCACCCCGTAGCACCCGTCCTCACCACGGGCAGCACCCTCTGATCTTGCATAAACATTCCCACACTCCAAGAAGTCACTTGCCCTTGCCTGGACACCTCAGAGGTGAAGGCTTATGAGAGCCCAAATCCACCAACATGTACATAAGCAGACATGAATGCATCACCTGCATCAGGACGGGATGCGTACAGACAGATCAAGTGCCCCAAGGACTATGCCTTGCCCATCTGCTGGACCTCCACCCCAGCCATGTCAGTGCTATCACCCTACAGGTGCCAGCAAACAGGGGGGCTAGCCACTAAAAGTCTGCACCAGCCTTTGCGTCTCATGTTGCTTCTCCGCAGATGCATCCTCTCCTAAAGAGCTACATAATTCTCCGAATAATCTGTCCCTACCAGACAAACAGCTATACTCCCTGCGTTCCAGTATTTACCTGAACACAGCTGCATCAGTGCCAGAGTCCAATGGGAAGGCTGGATCCATGCCCACACAGAGACGGGTTTTGTGTCTTGGTTTTAGGCCATGCCCTGAAGCTGTCAGGCTGGCAGCTGTTCTCGGCTTTCCAGTACCAGTGCAGAGGCCTCCTGCAGCCCCAGGAGCCACCTCTGGCTGCTGAATGCTCCCATGGGCCAGTGTGATGGGGCTGCAGGGTGGGGGTCCAGGCTGTCTGCTCCCAGGCAGTGCAAGCCCCAGCTCTAGGGCCCCAGCTCTTTCCTCTCCCACGCAAGGGGAAGCCAAGCAGCAGGAGGAGCGTGGCACCTCAGCACACCACATATTGCCCCCAGGCTGAAGCCAGCAACCCTGAAGGTGTTGAATACCCTGCCCTGCCTGCTCTCATTAGCATCTCATTAACAGACAGTGATGCCAGGCAGGTAGGGAGCATTAACCCCACTTTGCACACACTAGAAATCAAGACACAAAGGTACATTGCAACCTGCTCAAGGTCACCCACAGGATGTCAGGGATCCAGGACTCCTACTTTCCAGCATCCTCTTAACCTCCACTTATTCCTTTACCACCCCTTCCACTCCTCTGTCTCCCAAGCTGAAGAACAGAGACAAAGGTCTTAAATTCCAGTTTAAGCACTAAGGTGTCATCACCTCCTCCTGCCAAGACAGAAACCCAGGAACGCTGGCTCCCACTCCTGCTCAGTTATTAGTCCCTGCTCTCAAAGCATAGCACTGCCCACTGCAAGTACAGCATGTATGACAGTTTCCTGGCATCTGCCTTAGCCATAAAAGATACAATAAATAAAATCTAAACATCCATCATGCGCAGCCCTGGGGCTCTGCAGAACACCTTCAAAATACCAATGCATACCTGTCCTGGCATTCACCAACAACATCCCTGCAGGGGCCTGCCAGGCCACGTGGAAGTGGTTTGCGACTCAAGAAATGGGAGAGAAAAGCTTCAAGCAGTCCTGAGCCCTTGCGTCCTGCACTTCCCCTGAACACTGGCCCGTGGTGCTTTGCTCGCACGGTGGCATGTGCAGGGCTTGAACAGCATGATACCCCTGGCAGGTGGCTGCATGCACGGCCAGTCAGAGCCCCTGGACAGCAGGCATGCTGCTCCTCCATTTTGCTACCACATCACCCCCAAGTCTCTCCCAGGAGCCAGTTTCCCATCAGTGATCGTGGGAGGCAGCTCTCCACCTGCCTGTAGAAGGCTAATGGCTCTGGACCACTTACTATGCCACTCACTCCAGACCCTTTTAGCGAAAATAAATGTCAACAGGCAAACTCCAAACACATCCAAGAGCAAAGAGACCCTGCACAGAATCTACAAGCAAGCCAAAGGGATCCGTCACTTCCCCAGGGACGGAAATACAACGGGGTTGCAGGCCTGCAAAGAGGTAAACAAGTAGCAGCAGTCAACACGCGCTGACTTTGGCTGTCACCTCCTCATCTGCAGCCTCCACACCTTTCTTGGTGCAGGCAGGAGCCTCCGGCCGCTTTCCTGACCAGCTCCGGGGCTGCAGCCAGTGCACACCGCCTTGGAGCACCCTCCCAGCGCAGAGCCTCCCTCCTGTAGAGCCCTGAGCAGGACCCTGAAATAGGTCCGAATCTAACACCTTGCACATACAGCAGAGTCAGTGGCTGGTGGGCAAACACAATGGGGATCTCCCTGGCTTAGCAGGGAGCAGAGACCTCACAGAGGCAGTGGCATGGCCCAGTGCTGCTCCTGAAAGGAAGCAAAAAAAGCCCGTAACAGTGGGGCAGCATCAACCTAGTGCCCCTTTCCTACTTCTCTGATGAGCCCAAGCACTCTTCCCACATTCAGAAAGTCCCAACAACCCCAAATCTGGCCGGAGCAGCCACGCTCCCGGGAGAAAACAGCAGCCAGGGCCACCTCCAGCGCTTCCTTGCTCAGTGCCTTAGGGCACCATGCTGAGCTGAAGGAGGACTCTCTTTCTCTGCTCAGAGCCATGCACCACCTTTTTGTGCAAAACTTTTGCCAGTTCCAGGGCAGTCCTGGGTCATTTCAGCCCTGCAGAATGTAAAGGACCCCGAGAGTGGTGCTTTGTCACGCAGAGCCACACGTCCCAGACTGATGCCAGAGCACAGTGCTCCCATCTTGGGGGCCTGGGTGTTACAGGGGTGACAGCTCAGATTTTACCGACAGTGAAGTATGCAGCTTTCATCTTGTCCCAAC